TCAGAATAGAGATGTTACTCTTATATAATACAAACTACGCTAAGAATTTCATATTGACGTTCTGAATTCAATGAAAGATAACACGTTTTTTCGAAGCTTCTTAAAATTAACGGATTTTAACAGAAAAACGTGAATACTGCTTAAAGTAATATAATAATTTAATGTAATTTGCAATTATTATTTATTTTATTTCATTTATTATATATATTATAATTATTGAGTTTATTTGAAGTTATATATATATTCTTTGTCGTATTGTGTTATTCTGGAACACGTGACCCGTAGTGAACTTCTTCTTTGTCTCTTAGTTTACTATACACATTATATCTACTTAACATATGCACATAGATACAATCCTATTTACCAATTCACGACATTTATTATTTCTTTCAACATTATCCAGTTACCAGTTTTTTCTTCGTTAGTATTTATTTGTCTTTGTGCAACTAACCTGAAGATCGTTTGTCTTATTTTTATGTTCTGATTTCGCTTACCAGCTACAGGCTGCGACGGATAAATTGTCGCCATTTTATATTTTTAATTTCGCGCATGCGCGTTGTTTGTTTTTGATTTTGTCGTCTGCGCAGTATATTAGGGTCAGTTGGGCACCGTCTGTGTAAAAAAGAGCACCATGACCCAATTCACTCCGCTCGAAATTTGGAAACGGCATCCTGTACTGCTTGGTATTCGCGCCGGAGGCTCCAATACGAACATTTCAGTGTGTTTGGGTGTCAATCTGACGACAGTGCAGAGGATTCGAAAAGAGTTGGATGAGTCTGATGGTGATTAGGAAGGTACGACAGCTCGAAAAACTCACACTGATCGTTCTGATAATAAAAGAACTTTCGAATTTGCTGGTGAGAGTCTCAAACTCAACACGGAGGTCTACATCAAGTGCCTAGAGGAGGTAGTGCTGTCATGGGTCAAAAGGGTGGTTGAAGGACCGCCTATGTCTGGCAACAGGACTCTGCACCATGCCACACAAGCAGATGAATCTAGTAATGACTGTCAGGCAGTTTCTGCGACCGCATCACCCCTTACATCTGGCCATCTAACTCCCCAGTCTGCAACCTCTTTGATTATTATGTGGGGTGCAGTTGAGCGAGCGACCAACAAAACTCCTTGTAACACCAAAGATGAACTGAAGGCAAGGATTATGGCAGCATTCACCAACTTAAAAAAGGCGATCGCCCAGGAGAGATGCAGGAGATTCTGAAGACGTCTGGAGGCCGTGGTTGAAGCACATGGCAATTTTATAGAATAAATTCAATGAAAAGATTCCGTGGCATGAGTCGCAAATAGCCTCTGACTCCAACTCCAACTCCAAGCCAGAAAACAGGAGAAAGCGGGCAACTGGCGCCTCATAACCAGCTGCATCAGGTAGATGGATCTCGACAGTCCATGAAGGCAGTCCATCTAGGGGAAGGAAAACCCAGATTTTTAAACCTCCGCTGGCTTGCCGTCATATCCAAACACGGAAATGGCTATGGATGCAAATCAGGACAGAAAACCCGGAGTGGATTCCCGAAGGAGGTTGGTTATGAACACTGAGAACTTCCCGGCAACTTCTGCAGCCTAGCCGCCCCCAAATGTAATGCCCTGTATTACTTGTCGGTAAGGTTGACAGAGTATGTGGAGAGGGCATGCAGTCTGGGCAGTGAAAAGGCTCCATATACCACCGCCCATGACTGCACCCTGGAGTGGTCACTCCGGTCTCACCACAAAAGGACTGAATTTTGACCAAACAGGGTGCTACCTTTACCTGGCGAGATAAATGGATGTCTTCTAAGTAGCTTCGAACAAACTTTTGGCGAAATTTAAATAGAAGACTAACTAGAACGTTGCGCTTTGAACAAGACATGCTAAGGTTTTACATATTGCTTCTCAAATAATCCATGTCTATTTTTTACTAATGTTCACGTAATACAAAGCCCGAGAGCTGCTCAGGAGAGCAGGTTGCTGAAGGAAGTGGGTGATATGAATGTAAGAGGAAGTAGCAGCCCATCTGACAAAGAACCTTCTTGCAACATTGCAGATACGTTGAATGTTTGTTGGAGGATATGTGGCATTGTGGCGACGTTATTGTAACGTTGAAATCAACTACTTTCTTAACCCAAAACTCACCTCCGTGTAGTATAGCAGTATATCGCTTTTTGGCTCACACACACACACACACACACACACACACACACACACACACACACACACACACACACACACACACACACACATTTTATATATATATATATATTATTCGAGTTACGGCGAATGGGTAGCGTGCGTGAGAATCGCAGGGGTTAGGACTAAGCACACAGCAATTGACGGAGACAAAACTTCGGTGAACCTCTAGCCAGCCTCTCTGTCTGAATCAAGCATCGGACCGATTAAATAACATTCGGATACCTACACAACTTCACGTAGCTACGCTTTCTTCTGGTATGTTACTTATGCAACTTCATGTGGCCACGCCTCTTCCGGCATGCGCCCACGCAAGCACGTATTTCGTTCCGCTCAGGATACATGTGTGCCCTGTTTATTTCAGCCACCGTATGCATTTCCTATTTAGGCTATCACCAGTTCCGATTTCCCCTCACACACTGACGCAGCGGAAGTAAGGCCAAAGGTCTTTCCTCAACCGATATCCAACATGACGTTGTCGCAACGTTATGGCAACGCTGCGTACTGCTGTAGCTTAAAAGATTCCGCATTAGTCAAATAACCCCAGAATATTTTTTCTTCACTTAACAATATGTAAAGGAGTTTTAAAATTTATTTTCGCATTTTTATAATCGATAATCACCAATTTAGAAGCTGAACACACATTCTAATGTCCTCCTGGGATTTATTATCAATTTTCTGTCAATGTAACTATTGTAAACCTAGGGATAGTTACTGAATAGAATAATCACACGAAGGTTGGTAATGAATGATAATACTTAGGACAAGAACAACAAATATAAGATTCGCCAGCAGCGCATAGAAGTAGTTTGTCAACTGCTAGAAGTGAAGCAAGTGAATTCCACAATGAATCTTCAACTGCAGACCGACATACGGTATTTACTATTGTATTTATCGGAATGGGGACATACCCATTATCGTCCGTAGATATGCTATAACAATAACGTTAAAAGTCAATGTATTTGTAACGTTACAAGGTAACGTTGTAGGTACGTCATGGGCAGTCTACAACGTTGCAACGTTAGATTAATGTTGTTGTAGTAAACGTTATTTTGTTAGCTACGAGGAAGTTGATATTAGGAGGTCTGATAAAAAAGTATCGGGGCTGGTGCCTTAAAAAGAATACTACATATCAATTCAGCATTTAATCTCCTTCGAAGTAGTCTACTTCTGAACCCATACACTTTATCCTGCGTTTTTTTCTTTGATCGAAACATACCTGAAACTCGTTTCTTGGGATAGCGAGCAGCTGCCTCGTCGCATTCTCTTGGTTTTCCTAGATGTCTTGAAATTTTGTTTCTTTCAAGAATCATTTGAGTTTTGATGAAGAAAAAGTCGCAAGAGGCGATATCTGGAGAATATGACAGTTGTCGAATCTGGGAATGTGTCCTTGATCAAATTCTGCTGCATAAGCCATGGTCCCTGAAGAAATTTTTGTGGTGTGACAAGATGGCCACTCTCTACACTCTTTTCTTCCAAGCTCTGCTATAAAGAACTGCTATAAGAACTTAGCGAGAATGTTATCATTTCTTGTCCATGCGTGGTAGACTTCAAGGTCAATCTGGCTAAGCGCCTTCCCCCAGTTCAGAAGATATATCCCGAGCTCGTATTAGCCCTCATTCACAGCAACTCGGATATAGCGAACTTCTTGACAGTGGCCCGGAACATGCTGGAAGCCCCTGGCGAGGACATATCATTGAGGCCAAGAGAAATAAATATTCTAAGCGTTCGTAAGTAACAAATGCAGCCGAGTTTGTACAAATAGGTACAGGGTATGACCAGCCAGGGTGCGAGAATTCATGGTAACAGGGAGACGGTTGGTGTACGTGGCCAGCAGATACAAGCCATTCGTGATGAGGAATGGACAGTTCATGCATATCTGACAAGCGCTTTCTGAACAATTCAAAACCTGTAGAATAGTCATCAAGTAAACCGTTATAGATTTGCCACAGCCTCACCACATTACGCTTTCTGTAGCAAGTAGATTTTTACAAGCTCTGTTTGATAGCACCACTCCTAAGTGATTTAGAATTCAGAGTAGACCTGGTTGGGTTGCCAATAGAAGGTAGCGGGCAAATCTCTCTTGATATTAAATTCTAGCTGGGGCGGGTGGAGAAATGATAGGGAATAGCGGTATGTAATTTTAATATATATATATATATATATATATATGTGTGTGTGTGTGTGTGTGTGTGTGTGTGTATATGTGTGTGTGTGTGTTCAGATTTAAAAGGCCGGTTAATAAGATTTGAGGAAAGTAAAGACAACAGAATGATAACAACATTGGCAGTAAGATTGATATTTAATATATATTATTAGGCCTTTGACTAAATTGAAACACGAAAGGAAAACTTTAAAGTCGGAATTTATTGATACGCCTGTTAAAAGAAACGAGACCCCCCCCAAAAAAACAACAAAAAACAAAAAAAAACAAAAAACAAAAAAAAAACAAAAAATAACAAAAACAAGTGGGACTCACTCTTCCGGGGAATGTTGTTTTCCTCATGTATTGCATTTTTTTGAGAAATTTGATTCTGCGCTAACAGCGTGTCAGGATTAAGCTTGTGTAGGGTGTGTAGAGGGATCCATGTGGAACTATATTCTCTGATAAACTATTAGACCAAAATCAAATTTCTTACAGAAATACAACAGGAGGAGAAAATTAAATATATCGTCTGAAGGGTATTTGTGTGAAAGCGAATGCATTGGCCTTGGCTGGAATTTAAACGTGAACCTTAATCCCACTTCCCGTATTGAAAAGCGATACGCGACATGTACATCCATGAAGAACCTGACGTGCTTCTGTACTTTCCTTTCTAGGCATACGGCCACATCATGTTGAAATACCGGTTCCCGTACGATCACCGAAGTTAAGCAACGAAGCAACGTCGAACCTGGTTAGTACCTAGATGGGTAACTGCTTGAAAATGCCAGTTGCTGTTAGTTTGGATGTGCGAGTGGTGTAATAGATAATGGCTCGGGATTGTAAACTGGAGGACAGAGTTCCAATTACTATTGGGTTCCTCCTATTCAGTGACGCGCATTTTTCGAACTTTGATCTGAAGATTGTTCGCCGTTTTTTCCTGAACTTGGAACCACCATTAATAATCTCTTCACATCGTATTTTTTCTGCATTCCTTGACTCAGAGATTGAACTCACGATTTCCACAGAACAAGATAAACTTAACCACCATCAACAGCTAAATCAATAGCTTCATCTACTGCAAGGAAAGTTGGTTCTCTGTGTCGTGCCAGAATGTTTTTTCTCGTCTGAGTCCATCCTTCAAATTTATAAATCAACCATCCGTGCTTGCATGGAATATTGCTGTCATATATAGCCTGGTGCTCCAGATGAACGTCTCGAGGTCCTCGACAAAATCCAGAGACAAATATGCAAGATGATAGGTCCTGATCTGGCATCTCGTCTACAGTCGCTTTCTCACAGACGTGCCGTGGCTTCCTTCTGTCAGTTCTAAAAGTATTTTCACGGCAACTGTTTCGACGAGCGACTTTCGCTGGTTCCCAGACTGAATGAATTTAAGCGAGCCACTAGGCTGGCATTTCGGTCCCACCCTTTCACTGTTGAAACGGTTAAATGTAACTGTCTCTTCTACTCAAACAGCTTCTTCTCTCGCGCTTCCTATCTGAGGATCTCCCTTCCACTTGCTTGCTTCTCTGATAACTATAATCTTCAAATATTTAAGTGTAATGACAATCGACATCTTCTGATACCTTGATCATGTTCCCCGTCCTTCGCTGTATCCTTTTCTACTTTACTCTTGTTGTTAATCCTTTGTAACCCCCTTGCGTACTAATGGCACTCCTGCCTTGCTTGGGGTGAATTACGTAAAAAACATCTTTACGGCATTATAATAAGAACACTCATAATTGTGGTTTTAGCCTTAAACCTAATAACTGTTTTTATTTTTATTTTTAATTAGAGCCTCCTATATGATCTTCATTGAGCACGTGCAATGAGTTTTTCAAATTAGAAGTTCCCATATAATTATCATATCCAAGCCAGGCTAACTGATTGGATGTATTGAGTATAGCGTGTACGATGACCATTTCAAATTAGAATCTTCCATATGATGTTCATATTCTATGGATTGGATTCATTGAATATAGTAAGTTTAATAACCCTTTCAAATTAGAAGTTCTTATATGGTCTTCATAACCATGTTTGGTCTACTATTTACATTATTCGGACTATTGTTGGTCTACTATTTACATTATTCGGACTATTGTTGGAACTAGAACAGTCTACCCCAGTGAGTGAAATAAAGGGTTCAGTTCGACGTTCCAACCACCTGAAGAAGGTCGGAGTGTACAAAGGCCGAAACGTTGTAATAAATATGATGACAAAGATGAGGACAATAGTCCGTATAATGTAAATAGTGTACATAATGCCTCATCTCAGAAATATAGACAGATGTTTGATCTACTGATCAGATTCATTGAATATAGTAAGTCCAAAGTTTACATTAGAAACTCCCGTATGATTCTAATATTCATGCTCAGACTTCTGATTGATTCATTAAATATAGCATATGTTATGATACTTTCAATTTAGAAACTTCCATATATCGCTCATATACACGCTAGGTCTACTGATTGGATTCAATGCGTATATCATATGGGATGATCCTTGCAAACTAGAATGTCGAAATTTGTGCTCATATAGCATATTTTCATGAAAATACAATATCATTCTCACTTCCAAGGAATTGGTCTTGTGAAGATTAAAACTAGAGGTTAATTGTTGTCATTGGAGTGTTTCTGAAAATCAAGACAGCAGAAAAATAACGTTAATGTATTCAATAAACCCTAAGATTTCGAAGACTAATTTTTAAAGCAGCTAATGCACCCTAACTTGGAAAATTGGTGACCGCCAAGGATATTTATTTCAATATTTATTACTTTAACTCTTTTAGCTTTTTAAATGTCTAAGCTGAACGAATATCATTAATGAAATTCGTGACGTCTTCCGATACTTAGGAGGCTGACACTACAAAATCGAGAATTTTATATTTTATTGGTCACGTGCCAGACCGGAGTTAAATCAAGTAAACATGGTGTTTTTAAATATACACGCCAACAAACAGACGTACGCGAACACATTTACGCGCATGCGCACACATATGAAGTAAATGCGTCCAAAAATAGACATCTGTTAGTGAAGCTCTGTCGCTGAACGTTTTCGTGTGAATAATTCTGATTTTAAGGTCTGCCAAATTCTGCTCCGATAAGACGGAATAAATTTAAGATTTTGTTTTCATCAACGATCGATTATATTAAAGATGACCTCTTTTTCTTTGGTGAACGCGATAAACAAGCATATATGAATCAAGTACTGGACAGTTGATATTACAAGAAAACAAAATTAAAATATAAATATATATATAATGCCAAATGAAAAGCGGATATAATCCACAAAATCAAAATAAGAAAAATAAAGTATAAATAAAAAAAAACAAACTAAGAACATTATCTTATCTACCAATTCTACAAATAATAAATTTGAGATAAATTTAGCTAATCTGAATATAGAAATTATCACAAGAACTTAAAAAACAGTTACACATTTAATTTACGTAAAAAAAACGAGAGATAAATTTAAGAGCAAGAAAGTAAACTTCTTTTTTTTCTATGTGCCGTGTCCATTCAGAACGTGGGTGATCAAAGTTTTCCACAGTTTCCTGTCTTTTGTAAGTCTTAATAAATATGGGTCGTTCCCTATTTTTCTTGTGCTTTCTTTCACCGCGTATACGTTGATATAAGTTTGGGTTTGTCCCTATTTCTAAGATGATGTATTATGTACATTATTTACATTATTCAGACTATTGTCCTCACCTTTGTCGCCATATTTATTACAACGTTTCGGGTGTTGTACACTCCGGCCTTCTTCAGGTGGTTGGAATGTCGAACTGAGCCCTTTATTTCGCTCACTGGGGTAGACTGTTCTAGCTCCACGTGTCATGTTTAATGGATGTCAGTTATCTCCTGTTAATTCCCCTTTGCAAGTTCTCCACTGCCTTAACCGGGTATTGAACTCACACACTTTGGGTCCTGTCACTGGATCTAACTAACGTCTTTATCCACTGTGCCATGTGTCTTTGAGGAGATAACTGACAACTGACATCTATTAAAGATGACACGTGGAACTAGAACAGTCTACCCCAGTGAGCGATATAAAGGGTTCAGTTCGACATTCCAACCAGCTGAAGAAGGCCGGAGCGTACAATGACCGAAACGTTGTAAAAATATGGCGACAAAGATGAGGACAATAGTCCGAATAATGTAAATAGTGTAGTTTGTGTTTAGATTTTCATAGTATGATACCTTTTCCTGTCTATTTCTTCACATACTGTAATCATTGCTGAGTGATTTATAAATTTAACAGTATGCTTTTCACAAAAAAAAAAGAATTTTTTTCGCATATTATCTTATACTCGGAAAAAGCTCAATTCGACATCAGTCTCAGAGAATTATCTTTTTCTAATTCGCAACGATCCATTCAATTTTGGAAGTTCATCACATTTAGTTGTGCAAATATTGATTCTTCCTTTTTTTTTTTGAATTTTTATAAATTCAAAATAAGAGAAGGATCAACATTTGCCTGCTTAGTTTTCATGATCTCACAATATTCGAGTCTATTAGCATTTACATAGTCCTGGGATAGGTAAATATTGGTCTATTATATTTTTATCTATAAGCATTTACTTGGTTCGAGGGATGGAGTATTACTACCATATATGGTCTGGTGCCCCTTCTGTTTGTCTCAAGGTTCTTGATAAGATCCAGAGACTGATACGCAATGTAATTGGCCCTGATCTGGCATCTCGTCTGCAGTCGCTGTCTCACAGACGTGCCGTCGCCCCCCCCTGTCTTTTTTACAAATACTTTCATGATAACTGCTCCGATGAACTGCTTTCGCTGGTTCCGAGACTTCATGAATTTAAGCGTTCATGATCTCCCAAAGCTTATCCATAGTCTTTCTGTATTTATCTTTCCTCTTTAGTACATTGGAACAATCTTCTATAATTATCATTCAAGTCTGTAGACGCGAGTTCATTCCCTGGATCAGGTAGTGAAGGACTGATTCAAGAGGGAAGAGCAATAACATAATATCACAATAATCATCAGATATCGCATATCAGCTAATCAATGGACACCTGATGATGACCAGAGGGGATTAGGTCGAAACGTTGTGGCCATAATAATAGCATCTCTATCAACGAAGATAAGGACAATAGTCAGAAATAATAAAAGCATACTGACAATTAGTAATCTTTGAAATGAAATACTAGACTTTTGTTGGGTTACTTAATGTCCAAATCGATAATTCTTTATATTGGAATTGAGCCTGTAATCCTTTAGGGAAAATAAACGTTGGTCATTTAGCATTGCTTTGTTTCCGGGATAGGTAAATATTGGTCGTTTATATTCAAGTCTATTAGCATTTACATAGTCCTGGGATAGCTAAAAATTGGTCTATTATATTTTTATCTATAAGCATTTACTTGGTTCGAGGGATGGAGTATTACTACCATATATGGTCTGGTGCCCCTTCTGTTTGTCTCAAGGTTCTTGATAAGATGCAATTGGCCCTGATCTGGCATCTCGTCTGTAGTCTCTCTCTCACAGACGTGCCGTCGCCTCCCTCTGTCTTTTTTTACAAATACTTTCGAGGTAACTGCTCCGATGAACTGCTTTCGCTGGTTCCCAGACTTCGTTAATTTAAGCGTTCTACTCGGCTGGCATCTCGCTCTCACCCTTTCACTGTCGAAACTGTTAAATGTAGCCGTATCTTCTACTCCAATAGCTTCATGTCTCGTACCTCTCGCCTGTGGAACTCCCTCCCCTTTTCTTGTTTCCCTGATAGCTATAATCTCCAACTATTGAAATGTAATGTCAATCGACGTCTCCAGATGCCTTGATC